AGGAAGAAATGAAATTGAAAGTGAATTTGGGATTTAGGATATTAGGATTTTGTCCTTTGTTATAAAATGTTTTGTTTTGGTGTTATACATTATATTTAACTCGTTTTTTTGTACAGGATAAGTATTAAAATGTTATTTTATTTGTGGTTGGGTAGTATTGATAATATTGGGTAAAACTATATAAGGTAGTTTCACAATAAAGGTAACACTGATAATATTGGGTAAAACTATATAAGGTAGTTTCACATAAAATTAGTAACGATAATATTGGGTAAAACTAAAAAAAAAACAATTTTACATAGGTTTCAGACATTAATCCCATAAAAAGTTATAAACACATAACAATAAGATGAAAAAAACAGAGTACAAACATAGAAATCTACTACATAATTGTTCGCCAATTAGAGGTTGGTCTGAATTTCGTTAACCTTGGTCTGAAGTTGGAGTACTATTTGCTTAAGGTCATTAACTTCTTTGTCATATCTTTCGACTCGAGCTTCTAAGCCACTCACTTTGTTCTTGAGGATTAATATCTCCTCAACCACTGCATCGTCGAAGAATTTCCAAATGTGGCAATCTCCATCCTAAACAATCAAAATGGTTTAAATTTGTATGAAACAATGAAGTCAAATAGATAAAATTCCTTACATAAATGTTTCCAGCACAAGTGTAGTATCTTCTCCCATTTTGCTGGCCAAACGTGTAATTCTTAACAACAGCATCTGCTCCACAATAACACATTGTTGGAAAGTCTTTTTGAACTGGCTGCCGTGTGACTGGAACTTCGTAATCCGACAAACTCTCTCCCACAAAATGACTTTGATCCAAAGAGGAGGAGTAGTTGTTGTTGGAACCAGTATCGTATGAACCAAAGATTGACAAACGTCTTTTGCCCATGTTTCTGTATTGATGATTACAGTAGTTAAGTAACAAAAAATCCCCAAATTGGCAAAATCTGAAACCCTAAATCCCCAAATTCGCCAAATATGAAATCCCTAAACCTCAAAATTGAGTTGAGTAAATTAAAAACTGTTGACAATAAAGCGTACCTTTCTTCAATTTTGCCTCTTTCTTCAAATTTCGTATACTGGAATGGAGGAGAAGGATGGAGAAGAAGAAGGGCGAGCCGAAGAAAGAATCTGTTGACAATGAATCCCAATGTTTCGCAAAAAGATAAAGCAAAAGGTATCAGATAAGGTATTTAATATTTTTTTCTCTTTATGTTTTTGTCTCATTATGTATTGTACTCGTTTCCGCGAAAATCTTGAAAATATCGAACAGAAAATTGTTAATAGTTTTACATGGTTTGTCTTGGTCGTTGATTGTTCAAAAAATGTGTTTAGTTGTAGTTTTCCGAATTTCAATATATTTCTAGTTTTACCAGTAAAAATTAAATATTTTGTAGTTGGACACATAACATATAGCCATTATTTCATTGCCCCAATCTTTTGACATACGAAAATGTTTACAAACATAGATTTAACAACTTTCGCATCATAAAATGGTTACTGGTAACGCAGTGACCATTCATCTACGGACACATAACATATAGCCAGTATTCCAAAATATTTTCCTTATCAGGCGACATAAACCATTATCAGAAATTCATAGAAAGTGGAAAATGTCGAACCAAACATAGTACAACCAATACAACCAATATCACAGTTACACACTTACAAACATAAATAAAACAACTACATGTGGAGGGAAACTTTAACCTCCTCTAGGGAGTCCAATCCATTCAGCCAAGCTTCTCTGTGGCACACACTTATT